AGAATCGGAGCAGCGGGAGCGGTACTGCAGTCTCTTTACCGCACCGTTGTGACGAAAAGGGAGCTGAGCCAGAAGGCAAAGCTCTCTGTCTACCGCGCCATTTTCGTTCCTACCCTCACCTATGGTCATGAAGGATGGGTCATGACCGAAAGAACGAGATCGCGGGTACAAGCGGCCGAGATGGGTTTTCTCCGCAGGGTGGCTGGTGTCTCCCTTAGGGATAAGGTGAGAAGTTCGGTCATCAGGGAGGGACTCGGAGTTGAGCCGCTCCTCCTTCGCGTCGAAAGGAGCCAGTTGAGGTGGTTCGGGCACCTAGTTAGGATGCCACCTGGGCGCCTCCCTAGGGAGGTGTTCCAGGCACGTCCAGCTGGGAAGAGACCAAGGGGTAGACCTAGAACCAGATGGAGGGATTATATCTCTTCGCTGGCCTGGGAGCGCCTTGGGATCCCCCAGTCAGAGCTGGTTGATGTGGCCAGGGAAAAGAAAGTTTGGGGCTCTCTGCTGGAACTGCTACCTCCGCGACCCGACCACGGAGAAGCGGGAGAAGATGGATGGATGGATGGCAAAGGAAAAAACCCCCACAAACCAACGAAGTACACAGCACACAACAACTACAAAGAGGAACATTTAATTCTCAAGCTCACTGTGAAATGGGGTAAACAGTTTTCATCCTGGAGACTTGGACAACTGAGGGGTTTTAGATTGCTTCAGATGATTATGGAATAAAACCCATTTCTACTCTGCATTTGTGTTTTTTTCTCTAAGATAAATACTTATTGTTTTTACTTTTTCGTAATGTTTCACAAGGTACAACAGCACTTTACGTGAACCAAACAATAAACAATCTTTTTCCATTGCTAAAATAGATTCAACTAATTCAAATTTGGTCAGCCAATAATATTTCCATTATCTCTTTTTAAATATAGATGTACCTAAACTCAAATTAAAGCATTGAACTGAAACCTCAGTGTTGAACGAATCATATTCCAATATTGATATGTTAAGACTTATTTAAAAGAAAAATGTACTTTAGGACCCGAAAGAAATTAAACACTTCCAGATTGTGTCCATCACATGTGTGTGTAGAGCAGATTTGAAGAGAATAGCAGGGCTACTGTAAATGTGCAAGACTGCATTTAAGGCTATTTATAAACCAATATGTCATGATGTTGAAAAGTTTCTTCTGTGAGAAACCTGAATCATTGTTACCAACTAAACTGGCTGAATTTAATCAAAGGGGCCCTATTATACTGTTATCATTATTATTATGCCCCTCTGCCTGAAACACAGTTGGACTCATTTGTTGGACTCATTTGTTTCCTCCTCTGACATCACGACGTAACATAACACTCGTCGTTTTATTGGCTAGCGCTCCAACACATTGTACGTGATTGGTTAAGGGGCGGGACATTTCCGACACATCTCCAAGCGGTTTACCAGTCACAACAGAGCCGGCCAGCTAACCAACAGAGCAGACTTGGCTCTGGTTTCAGACAGAGGGTGAAAAGAGGTGCTGCAGGCTGTATGGGGCAAAAAAAGCACATTTTTTCCACACATTATCTAAAATATCACAGTACAATTATGAAAATGAGCATAACATCCCCTTTTCAACAAGCATGTTGAAGTTAACAGTGTTGACATTTCTTCCTTTTTTCTTTATGCAACATGTTGCGAAGGTATTACACATCCAAATGTCATCATTCAAGTAAGAATTAGCCACCGCACCGCTCTGATTTAGGGCCAATCCCTGCAGTAGCATCAGGGAACTGATTCATTAAACAAGCCATGGCCAAATCTTCACGCTTTCCCTCACAGATAGAGCTGATAGCTGATCAATAGTTGCCAGACTAAATCAATCACCATCCCCCTGCCCAACCAGACAACCCCTTCAGACCCCACTGCCTCAGCTCCAGGGAAGATTTGTCCTCCAATGCCTCTATCATTTGTCTTTAGATTTCCCTTCCATCTGATAGCTCTGGTGCTTTTCAAATGCCCTCTCCACATGTCCTTACCCCCTGTCAGTGATTTATATGTGTCTGGTCATCACTGAGGACACTACAAGTTTATGCTCATTTGCACAAAGTCATTAAGTCTCATATTCGTATTGTATTTAGTTTTTTCAAAGAAGTTAAACAATTTGCCACTGGCGGTGTGATAATCCCACATAAATCCAGAGTTGTTTAAGTAGGTAGTGTAGGTAAGAATGGAGAAACCAGCTCGAGTGCGCAAGAATTTGAAAGTACGCAGCCGGAAAAAATCTGCCCCTTCCTTCAGACTTCCTTACAGAGCCCCTCTTCCAACACACACACTAACGCGCACATGACCAATGAGGGCACGAGATAAGTTTGTGCACGAGATGGAATGCTGACAGGCAGGTAGGACATCCAATTATTTGCCCCGGGCCGCGGGGCAGATGATTGTTCGCGCTTTTTACAACGCCACGGCTTCCACCGATGAAATTCAGGTATTTATTGTCAAAGGATTTAATTTATTCATTGCTATCGGGATGTTAAGAGCATTCCATGGAATATAACAACAAGGGTTTCTGAACTGAATTACCATACCCATCTATAATTGTTAAATTTCACTTTATTAAAAGAATTAGGCGAGTTAATTAGTTTTCAAATGTATTTTTTTCCTACTGCATGCTAAGCAAATTTGAAGAAGAATTTTACATTCAATGCTTCATTAAGCACTTTTTATTTTATGCGGCATAATTTGATTCAGTGCCTTAGACCTTGTAAGATGAAGAGAACATCTGCCTCCTTTCCCCCCCTCTTAGACCATAGCTGTTTATTTTTCATTTTCCCACTCGCCACTTCCCTCTACAAGCAATTCACATGTGCAGTGAACTGTGAATGAAAAAAAATGGAACCCTCTCAAATACATGCATGGCTATTTACACACACAAGCACACTGTAGAATCTAGATGCATAGCATAGTGTAAAGATAAAAAGTCATTATTATGCATGGACAGGCAGCTTACTGCACACATCGATGTCATTACCATGCATTAAAAAAATGCTTGTCATGGCTGTTCATGTCTATCAAGTAATTTCCTGCATTTATAGTCCCTTACTATCTCTTACATTCTTTGTTGGAGAAATTTGGCAGACATTGTCCGCCAGACCGACTTAAAATGTTGTCATTTGGACTATACCATCAGATCTAATGAAGACACATTTTGCTCCAATTCAAATGGTCCCAGTGATCTGCTTCTTATAAGTGCAAGAAAAACGACATGTCTTTATAACATCTGTTCTTCTCAGCCTTTTTACTATTTGTAATTAAGCCATTGCAGTAAATCACAGGCTTGTAGACATAGGCCTATGATAATCTATTTATCTACACATACACATAAATGATTTATATCTGACTTTGTGATGAAAGGTTAATATCTTTATTTCCACAGGCAAAGCTGATGGGTGAATGATTGAACAGCATTCTGTGTACTTTTGGTAATAACCAATATTTTATTGGCTGTCAGTTTGTACACCATCTGCTGACTAAACACACTAACTGCAATCTGACACAAACGTGCCAAGTACAAAAGGGCAAGAGCACAACAAAACAACATTTTTGTTGTTGTCTAGACAGGCAAATGTAAATGTATTTTTCACAAGTTTGTTTCCTCTTTTCCACACTAAAGAACATAAACATGTTCGCTTGAATAAATGCATGCGTGACATTTGATATGATTATAATTTTTCATCCATTGAAGTTTGAAATAAAGAGTTAGGATTTAAAGGCGGTAGTCTTGATGCCATTTAGCAAATACATGGCTGAACAAGTGTACAAACATTTAATGGCACGGTTAAAATAAATATTAATATAAATATTTTCATTAAGCTGTCAATTTTGTGTAATCATTAAGCAAATAAATTATGAGATCATTAAAAATAAATACATTTTAGGACATCTTGCCATTCCCATAGTGGACATCATATAAATCTTGTGTGAATACACAAAGTCAAATAGAAGGTTGTAGGAAACTGGAGCACAAAATAAATGAGGTCCCATTATGACATTAATTCATATAATTCACAGTTAGGATGCTATGAAGGACCTGTGCACATATAATTAAGCAGAGCCTCTTCCAGTACAGATGTGAAGTGATAAGCTTTTTCACACTGATTGAGGATTATGCAGTTAACAAGAGAAGAAGAAAGAAACAAAATGGCGGTGTTTAGAGGATAATACTTGCCTACAATGTAGATGTAGTTGAACCGTGGGTCATCGATCCAACAAAGTTTTATTGTTGCATAAAAAGCATACTCTGAAATAACCTAATTGAAAAAATAATGGCATCGGTATCTTATTTTTATCTAAAGTAGTTCTCCGGCTCAGTAGGTGGCAGAGTGGACCTGTTAGTTTATAATGAAACACACGAAGAATACGCAGAAGCGGAAGAGACGTGGCACATAAACAGAGGGAGGAAGCTAGCTGTAGTGAAGTTTGCTGATGACAGCTTCTGGACCTGCCTTCCACGTCATTTCGACTAGGAAGCTTAAATGACAGCCGTACACCATTACCTTAAACGAACAGGGCTTGATTGAAGTCTGTCTGACAGGTAACATGTCATGTATTTATTGTATAAGTTGGAACTTCCTTTACTGTAACTGCTAGCTACATTAGCTTGCTAACGCTACCTCCATGTTACCTTACCTGATAACTTAGGTAGCAGGCAGCTAACTAATGTTAGCTCAGATCAGTGTTGGAACTGATCTTGTGTTTTTGTTAAAACAAATACCTGGTTATCTCTGTTGAATAATAAAGTAAGGTCAGAGGATTTTACCAAAATGTGTACGATAACTTATTTGAAGTTAGCAAAAACCACAGCATTAGATTAGTAGCCACTAGCCAGTGACAGTCAAGGAAGTACGAATCACGCCCATGGACAGTTTGAACTGCAGCTAGTGCGGGGGGTGCCATCATTAACTGCCTAATAAGTAAATTATAATGTATGTTGACTTGATTGATTGGTCTTTAACGAAGCATGATTTAGCTGTCAAAATGTGCTGCTGTTATACAACATCGCAATCTGCCAGGGTACTAGCCTCATTTGGGACTGCCCCAGCTAAATCGTGTGTTATTTGTTATAAAATACATTTGTATTTTTAATTAGATCTTCCTTTAGGAATATTAAATCAAAGTCATAATACATTCATGATACATTGACCCTTCCATAGCCTTTTAGTAAAGGTACAGTTGCAAAAAACAATGAAGGATTTTGTCTGATAATAAATCACATAATGATCATTCTTTTTCATATTGACAAGAATAATGATGAAAAACTAGTTGAGCAGGTATTATGTCTTTATATATACAGTCTATGTATTATGTAAAGCTGTTCCAGTAAATAACAACATAACAACAATTTAGTAACATGTCATTAGTTTGTTCCAGACAAGAGCAAAAACTCCACACTCATAGTAAATGTTTACATTATGATTTTATAACTATCCACATGATACGTATTTATAATGGATTTGGCTGTTATACACAGTGTACAACACTCTGGCTTCAAACTCTTCTCATAACTTTGTATTAAGAATTAAGGAAGCTTGTGCACAAGGCACTCGTATGAACAACTATGCCAACAGCCAGGGTTTTTTGGGAACAAGGATTACAGGGTCAAGGGAAGATATACAGTCCTTAAAATAAATGCCTCTATTGTTTCACTTATATCTGTAAAATTAGAATAATCAGGATAAGTACATTGATTGCAAACCTTTAGTGTCACACGCTTTTTCTCATGAATAAAGACGGATTCACCTTACTTTTGTTATACTTAACACAAAGCTAGTCAGTAATTAACAGAATGATGAGAACTAGGACTTTTAGTTGTATATTACATTCATAACAATCCTGCCTTTTCTTTGTTTGTCCTCAACACAGCACAGGTGACTATGGGTCTCTGCAAGTGTCCCAAGCGAAAGGTGACCAATCTATTCTGCTTCGAACATCGTGTAAATGTGTGCGAGCATTGCCTTGTCTCCAACCACAACAAGGTCAGTGACTGGACAAGTATCAGACAGTTTATGTTTGTAAAAATGTGTAACACCATATTAATATTCTTTATCTCTCCATGCCCATTCAGTGTATCGTGCAGTCATATTTGCAATGGCTTCAGGACAGCGATTACAACCCCAACTGTACTCTGTGTAGTACTCCACTGAATGCACAAGACACTGTGAGGCTCGTCTGCTACGGTAAGATTATCAAGTTTCTGTCTATTACAATGTCATTGGAAAGAACATGATCAACTCTGTCAAATTAATACACAGATTAAGATAGACTTGTATCTTAAATTACAAGTGTAATGTTTTGATTTTTTTTTTTACTGTGAAGTTAAATAATGTTTTCTTTCCACAGATGTGTTCCACTGGTCCTGTCTCAATGACCTGGCCTCTCGGCTGCCCCTCCACACGGCTCCAGCGGGGTATCAGTGCCCCACCTGTCAGAGTCCACTGTTTCCCCCTTCCAACCTTGCCAGCCCGATTGCTGATGTGCTGAAAGAACAGCTGTCGTCTGTTAACTGGGCAAGAGCTGGTTTAGGTCTGCCGCTGGTAAGGGCCTTTTTTATTGTTATGTTGCTCGCTTTATATCTCTTGTTTAGTGATCTCACAATCATTACACAAAGTAAAGTGTAAACAAATCAAGTGACAAGAAAGTACACATTCAGTATTGTGTGATTTCTGATTGTATTTAAAAGCTAAAATTGTACAGAAAAAGTTGGGGTTTCCCCGATTTAAGATTTGACACAGTTTATTTGATTTGATTTGTTATTATCATTTATTGAATGCCTTTGTCTTGTGCAGAATGCGTGGTCTTGATGCAACCCTGTGTGCTTTGATAGTTATTATGCGATTGCTCTCAGATTTAATAAATACATTTGAAACCTTAGCCTTACCAAGTGGAAAAAAACAACTGGCAACAATCACAGAATAATTACAAACTACAGACAAGGAGTGCAGAGAGAAGCAGTAACAGTGCACAGAAACATTACAGTACATTACAGTACAATGTTTATGCTTACTATGTAGAGGCCACACCTTTCTTGTGTAGACAGGACGACAACAGATACACCCTCACTCCAACACAGGTTAAGCTCGAACGCTAAAATACCAGTTGACTATGTATCCAAATGTTCAGTCATGGAGGTAGGAAGCTGTAACGGAGGCGGCAAAGGGAAATGACACCCATGTTTATAGCCTGAGAGGAACAATCTTTTATTCAATAATGAATTTATTTCCGCCACTGCAACGATTTTACTGTGAGACAGTTCTTAAAGGTAGGGTAGGTAATTCACTTCAGAAACACTTTTTGTTATATTCCATGGAATGCTCTTAACATCCAGATAGCAATGAATACATTAAATGCTTTGACAATAAATACATAAAAATAATTCATCTGTGGAAGCTGTAGCGGCAGCGCTGTGAAAAGCACGACCAATTATTTTAGACGGCCCAGCCCGGTTTCTCCATTCTTACCTACCCTACTTTTTTAAGGGGAAATCTTCAAAGAATCGTCTTTCGTGATCAAATGTATTCTTAATAAAATGCCGTATTTCACTGACAGATTGAAGAGCCCATTGGGGTCCTTGAGGAGACGGCAGCTCACGATGTCACTGATTATACGGACTGGTCGACATTTGAGGGTGAGCCTCAATGTTAACTTTGTTTATTAGGGACTGTCTTTTACCCATTTATTGTACAGTATTTTTAAGTGTTTTAATCATACTCTCTTCCTTCCCACAGCACAAGAACAAAGTAACATTTACCCCAGCAGCTCTTACAACCCCAGCCTCAACCCACCACCACCAGAGTCTGTCTCACCTCCAGCACAGGAAGAGGTTGTAGTCCCTCGTAAAAATGGGGATCCAAATATCCAGGATCAGTCTGTGGTCAACTTCTCTACCGCTACAACCCGTGACACAATTACACTACACACAGGTAAAGCATTGGAAAGCCCTCTTAATCTATTATCTCCCAGAACATCTAACATTGTCTTACTTTAATGTATAGTATATTTTGTGTGCGGTATATCACCTACAGTAGATGATTTTTGGCGATAACTGTCCTTTTAAGCCCCAAAATACATTTAAAGGTCCCATGTCATGGCCATTTCTATTGATCATAATTCCATTGTTGAGGTATACTAAAATAGATTTAAATTTAGCAATTTTCCAAACTCTCATTGGTTTCTCATACAGCATCTCTGTATAGTATGTGTATTCACTCTCTGTCCTAAACGGCTTGTTGGAGCTCCTGCCCCCCCCTCCCTATGAGCCCAGTGGCTGTCTGCGAGACAGCGAGACACAGCGAAACCCAGCCCAAAACCAGCCGAACACACACACACACCCGCAGCCTGGCTGGGAGTTTGTGTGACTCACAGCCTCACTGCGTCCCGCCGTCTCAGGGAGGAGAAATCGGCGGAGCTGCAGCTGAGAATCCATGGACTTAACCGGCTCCGCATACGTAACGTAACGGCTCCACGGATTGGTCAATTTGGGTATGGGCACGTCACTGTACCCAGATAGAAAACAATGGAAAATGAGAAATCTCCAACGAGGCGTTCTGGGGCAGCATAGACAGGTCTTTTCTGTGTTAGTTTTACTCGCTACAGGGTGTACTTTGACGGTTTGTGGCTCTGCAGACCGTTTACATGCAGAAAAACCTTCATAACACACAAGGGGACGGGTAATAACCGGAAAAGCATGGGACATTTAATAATAATTTTGAGGTACATTTTTTTGCATATACCAAGCTTAACATACTATAATAATCTGTTATTTATCTCCAGCATCGTCACCAAGAAAGATCTACGACACGCGGGACGTTGGTCACAGCTCCGTCACACAGATTGACTTTGACGATGACAAGTACCGGCGACGACCAACGTTAAGTTGGTTTGCTCAAATTCTCAAGTGAGTATTATGATCTACTGTGGAACTGCAGCTCTCTTTTCTTGTTTTCTCACCAAGAATAAGTCACTACAAATATAATTGTGATCCCTGATTTTCTGACATGGTTGATCTTTTCAGAAATCGCACAGGCGGAAAGCGGACATCCCTGTCCTGGAAACAGCGGGTCTTCATGCTCCTTGTGGTCGGAGTTCTCGGTTTCTTTACGTTGATCATCATCATGGCTAAACTGGGACGTGCCTCCGCGGGCAACGACCCAAATTTAGATCCTCTGCTTAACCCTAACATCCGTGTGGGCAAAAACTGATAAACAAGCGTTGATTTCTTCTTTTCCTTCTGTGTAACAGAATATACAGTATACCTGTGTAGAACAAAATGAAATGGGACTCTCAGTGACACTGGCAGCCCAACAGAGGGAGCCCTTTACCCAACTTGAATGAGAATGAAAAAGAGACGCTGCACCTTTTTTGAGAATGGAGGCAAACTCTGGCTCTATTCATTTCCATCAGGCAGTGGGACCCGGCAGGAAGAGCCCGCCACAACAAAATCTCAGAAGGTGACCAAGGCCCAGTGCAAAGACGAGGGATCCGGTTATTGTTGCTTTTGAAAGCTTATGAAGAAGAAGTGGGGTTGCATTTATATTTACAATTCCAGCTAACATATGTCAATGATCTTTGTTATTTGGGTTTTTTAAGTTCAGTAGACACTAAATAAACACTTTTGATGTTAAAAGAACATCTTTAGCTCGCAGAAAAGTCATGATGTATATGATACATTTAATAATGTCTCCACGGTTACAGATTCCACTTGCCGATTTGATTTCAGTGACCTTGTTTCTCCTTTAGAGAAGATGTGGCCCTCACAACTGGAATGAAATGCTCCAAACTACTAATAACTTATTATGGGTGTCTGCATCACTTCTGAAATTGAGTGCATTGCTTTTAGGTTTGCCATAAATACTGTATGTATATTTCCTGATGTTTTTGACTGTCTATTAAATGGGAAAAACTGCAGAATTTAAGCATTATGTTTATTTAAAGCCCATGAATCATGTTCATTATTTACTGATGTGCAAAGGCAAATACAGTGAAGGATTTAATGTCAGTTGCGTTGTGCTTCACTTAGAATACATGTCAGAAAACTAGGAGTATATTTATAAATAATATATATATAAATTACATTTGAGTTCAGTTTCTCAAACTGTTATTCTATTGCCTAGTTCTAATAAAGCCACTATAAGCATGATAGTGTTATCACAGACTTTTGATCAAAGTAAACAATATCCCATGGATTAGATGTAATGTTTGGTTCTGTATACTGTAAACTGCTGCACTCCTTTTTTAATCAATATTTGCACTAAATTGACAACATTTATGAATTGTTAAAAAATAACTGAGAAGAAATCACTTGTTTATTACTCGCTAATATAGTGTTTCACTACAGCAGGACCCTGCTTTTATGTCTTTCTTCAAATATAAAGAAGATTTACTTTTTAAGAAGTGCAGATTGTACTTTATCCCAACTGCTAAAAGGCGTCACTCAATCAATCTGAAAAATGTGCAGGCACCGCTTAGTGGGAATAGTTACATAATGAGACATTTTTTATCAAGTTCCTGTTTGATTTGTGATCCTAATCTGCAGTTGGTTCAAACCCCATCTTTATTTGGTATTTTTTAGAAAACATGGTCAACTTTTCAACATTGTCCAAAGATGCAGTGGCGGAATGCAAATAGGAAAATCAGAAAGTGTATTTGTTCTTCAGCCTTTTTTGAAATGTATTTAGTGCATTATATAAATGCCTTAAACCAGATGTGAGCAATTCTTGCCCGAGACATTTTTGTGATTAACAAATAAGTGTAACGTATTTTATTTTTGTTGTTCATTCACATCTTATTTTACCTAGTTAACATTTATTCACTAATGAATATTTTTTAATATCTCCAGTTTTAAACTATATTTTTGGTTACTGTCCTATAGTATACATTGGAATGTTTTCAAACCTGTTGTTATTTATACTAATAGTTATAAAGGTGTGCCTTGGAAATATTTGTTTACATAAATTGTGACCAAACCGTTTGAGACCCATGAGATAACTTGGACTAAAGTGAACTATCTAAACACTCAAGAGTCCTTTACCTCACTGAGCTGTAGTTATCAGCCTCAATCCAACAACAATCCGCGGTACCGATCCATGCGCGCCCTCTCTCTCTTGCTCGCTCGGAGGCTCTCTCTCACTTTGGCTGTGAGCTGCGGGCGCCTGATAAGTCAACATCCCCCACTTTCATCACTTACAGCGCACATCGTACGGGGCAAATGCAAAATGTAGACGGGCCGGGTTGCAAAGGGTGTTTACTTTATTCAATTATTAATGTAAATGTATTACATCAAGGGCAGAAAATTAGGCAGAATAAAAATTAATTAATAAAACATTTATTTTTAAATCTCCCAGCCCCTCCAGACCCAGTGCCTAGGGCCGGCCCTGGATACTATGTAAAAAAGCAGACCGACCTGCCCCTTAGAAAAATACCTAATGAGTTAACCCACTGTGGCTCTCAGCCACGACTTATACTTCTCTATAAACATGTTGAACAGCATTCCCCGTGGTGGTGAGTCCAGCCCAGGAGTAATGTCCTGTGGGAGAGCAGGGGCAACCAGCTCTGCTGCTTCAGCTTAGCTCTAAATCATTATTATATTATATTTATCTCAATGACATTGGTTGCATTTTGTCAATTGGACCTACAATCACAAATACTGTAATTTCTTCCATAAAATAATTACGACATTTTAGTAAATATTCACAGAATCAGTAATATTATATTGTCATTCTATTACAACGATTATCTTTTTTAATACTACTTAAAATACATCAGTAAGCTCTCTAGAAAAATGTATTTGTTTCTTTGTGTTTTTTTATTAATATTCAGTCTAAACTTTACCCCATTGCCCATTCATATATTTTTTTTCTTATGTTCAAAATGTTAAAAGGTAATTTAATTAAGTAGTTTAAAAATGCATGTGAAAGATCAGCATATTCATTCAATATGATACTGGTAGTGTGCTGCATTCTCTATTACGTCTATGACATCCTTTATGTCGTAACGTTGTCACATGCTGTCCTTGGGAATCCTCGTAATAACCCCCCTTACAAGTGTAGCATCTGTGTTCTAAAATATTCAACCAATACATCCTGTCTTCACGTACGTGTGAGTGTTATTTTTCCTCTTCTGAATCCATTGGTTAGCCAAACAGTCACACAAGTTGGGTCGCCAATTGATTGTGGTGCTCTGAGCCATAATGACATTGATGCAGGAAAGCTGCCGGCGGCAAGAACAGACCGTGTTGCGAAAATACAAAAAAGATTAGAGATCTGTCACTTCTGTCAGAACAAAGCAATGCTTTTTACTGTCTGATATATTATTTGAGAAAATAGGTTCGAAATCCCAAGTAGCTAAATATTGGTCACAATGCCTAGTGATATGTAATTGCCTGGTCCGTCCACTATGTATTCCGATGTATTTCTCATACCTCTGAGTAACTTAGGTTGCCCATTGCACTGACATAATAGGAAACAATCCCTGATCATACTCTGAACACTGTAGAATACAATAATACTGTAAGGCAGCCAAAGCTTTCTGCTCTGTTCACATGATGACACCAGAGTTTGAAAAAATAATCTTCCATTACGATGTTATTTGTTTTTTCTCCCACATAAGTGTATGGTTTTGGCGTGACGTTCACACAGGAATAGTTTCATAAAAGTAAAGCAAGCCCAAGCACTAACATATTTCCTTGACTTTCAAAGAAAAGAAAAAGTTGACATCTGACACCCACCCACTTACATGCCACGCTCAATTATTCAGAAAGAGTTTCTGCTTCTTTAGATGAAGCAACACGAAAAAGTAGAGTTATACACACTAGCCAGTTGTCCTTTTCTTGTTTGGTACATTGGACTCAGACCTTAAAAGGTCAGGGTAGGTAATTCACCTCAGAAACAACGATTTGTTATATTCCATGGAATGCTCTTAATATCCCCGATAGCAATGGATAAATTAAATGCTTTGTCAATACATATATACCAAAAATGTAATTTGGGTGTGAAGCGTGGCGCTGTAAAAAGTTAGTTTGCAGTCGAATAATCCATTTAGCTTTGGGAACCTTCCTAACTGAGTGAAATGACCCGGATACCTCAGTGGCAGTCCCATGACAAGTGCGCGTTCTAGTTCTCTAGATCTGTGGTTCTCAACTTGGTCGGCCCACTTTTTACTTGGTTCATAAATCGCAGACCCAACATATTTAAAGCACTCAAATCTATCAACAAAAAATCGCGTCTGTAAATAACGCTTTCAGCATACAATATTAGATTAAAGTGAAAGCTCAGCGCATATATCCCTTATGATTTTAGAAATACTAACATAAACTACGCTTCTGGTACACTCTGAGAAGAAAATAAAGAAACGTATTACAAACCGACATATGAATATATTTTTGCCATTGTTTGTTTTTCCTTTGTTCTGACAGCTGAAGTTGCTGCTCCACCACAGAGAATAACGAGGAGAATAGTCTGTGTGAATTACTTTAAATTGTGGATAAGGGTAGATACTCCATTGTTCTGTGACCTGTCAATCATCAAATACGGGGGTCTCATATTCATTATGGTTCATTTTTATCTGAAGTTGTCCCTGGATCTAAAAGAAATAGTTCTACCAAAAAGTTATCTCCGTGGGGACTTCCGGCACATCTGATTCTGATTGGCCAGAAAGACTCGAAAAAACATCAAGCAAGATGTTTATTGAGTGGATGATCCATTTATGTGACCGAAGTTTTCAAAACCGTTTTATGGTCTCCGGTACTTCCAGTCCACCGCCTATTGCATGCACAGCGTTAGAAAATCGGAACCTCAAATAAAAGTTTGACTTTTTTCCAATAAAAAAAAAAAAATTCCACTCACACATCGCGACCCACTCGAAACGGGAACCCGCGACCCACTTTTGGGGTCAGAACCTCACGCAGTTGAGAACCACTGCTCTAGACTGATAGGAAGGAGGTTTCAAACTCTTATAACCTCCTTTATGAGGAACCACTGGAACCTCCCTTTACGAAAGGAGAGGAGAAAATGCGCCCCACAAGCCTTGCAGCCGCAGCATTTTGCCGTCACACAACATGTCGGCTTCACGGAAACAACCGAGATATATCATGATAGTTCCCGTGCTTTATTAAGCTTTTTAAAAAAGGTAATTGCCAAGGCTTTTGTTTTGAACCGTTCATCAGTATTATAAACAAAAAGAGGAATATGAACGTTAGTTTTTAAACTGAAATNGGAGCGGCAGAGCGTGATGTGAACTGAAAAGTTTTTCTGTGGCAATATTATTTAAGGAATCGTTGAGCTAGCTAGCTAGCATACATTGTCACTATCTGCTAACGTTAGCTTTAGCCTTCTATTTCTAATAGTTTTTTTCATAGGCTATAAACAGAGGTGGTATAAGTATATATATATATTGTACTTGAGTAGAAGTACTCAGATCTTGTACTTGAGTAAAAGTAGAAGCACATAGATCTTGTACTTGAGTAAAAGTAGAAGTACTCAGGTCTTGTACTTGAGTAAAAGTAGAAGTACTCAGATCTTGTACTTGAGTAAAAGTAGAAGTACTCAGATCTTGTACTAGAGTAAAAGTAAAAGTACGCAGATCTTGTACTTGAGTAAAAGTAGAAGTACCAGAGTGTAGGAATACTCTGTTACAGTAAAAGTCCTGCATTCAAAAGTAGAAAAGTATTCTCATCAAAATATAGTGAAAGTAGCGACAGTAAAAGTAGTCATTGTGCAGATTGGTCCATTTCAGAATAATATATGATATGTTTTATAATGATTGATCATTAAAGTGTTCTCAAAGCTGGTAAAGGTGCAGCTAGTTTGAATGACTTTGTATACTGCAGGGTAGCTTGTGGATTTACTCCAGGTGGAACTAAAGTCTGATTTAACACTTGATTATATTTCACATCATTCATCCACATCTGTAAAGCAAC